GGCTCAATTATGAAAAGAAAGTACTAAGCGACTCGAGGCCATACGAAGGAGCAAGCTACCAAAGACCAGGTCATGGAGGTGCGAGCAAAGGGTGCCATTGAAGACTAGCTAAAGACAAGCCAAAGACTGGCTATAGACAAAGTAGTCCCTAGACTACCTATGTACAGACGAAAGTGTGTACCGAGTTTGAGTTGTAATTAGGCCACACTTTGTTGTATTAAGCTATTGGGCCTTGTACTTTCGATCAAAATAGAATACTTGAGGGGCTATTGTTGGGGGTGTATTATATGTTGGGGACCTCAACTATCGTGTTCAGGACCCAATTACATTTTTTTGGCCTAAGGGTTTGAAAAATAATGTCTGGGGTCCATTTGTAGACTTTGATAGTGTTTTTGTAAATACAAGCCCCATCAAGGGTCCATTTGTAGCCCCTAGTGACATTTTTGTAAATACAAGTCCCATCATGGGGAATAAAGAGAACCTCACCTCATACCACCCCTATAAAAGGAGGAGATGAAGAGGGGGCTGTAACACCCCGGGTGTTTAAGTATTAAAAACTGGACATATCATCATATGCATTGCAAGGCATTGGTCATATTGCAAACTTTGATATGCATTCACTAAAACGAGTTTACATTTATGTTATAAGTGTTGCTTGGTATTGTTTGAATCAAGTTTGAAATCTTTGTATTGATTTGAAATTCCGAAAACCCTGATTTTCAATATTTAAACCCTACCCTGAAAACCCATTTCAAAATCGAAGCACATTTTGGGGTTGAGCCTTAAAGCAAAATTGTAGTGCTTGTTGAGTTGTACAAAGTTTATTTTTGGAGTTTTCCAAGTTGTTTAGTAAAATTCGAAGTTATTTGAAAAGGCGAAATTCCTTAAATGACCCCTATTTGAATGCAAAAGTTCATTTCAAAATGTAGACCGAATTAGGGGTTGGTTATAAAAGCAAAGTTGTAGAACTTTTGATTTTGAACAACTTTTAATTTTGGAGATTTTTGAGTTGTTATACAAATTTAGGAGTAATTTGGATTTTAAACTGGATGGCAATTTTGTAATTTTTATGAACAATGTTCACCGCTCTTGCTACATTGCCGACGATCCTTCGGCTTGCTTCCAGTTGCGCACGTGGCTGTCTGGGCGTCGTGCTGGCGAGGGAAATGGCTCGCACCATCACGGTAGTGTCTTCACCGTCGCGGCATAGCGCTAGAAAGCTTCGCCTACTCCTTGCGCACCCAGCCAGCTAGCTCTGGTCGATTGATTTCGCCGTGAGTTCGCCATTCGTCGCTTTCTTCCTCGCGGCCGGCAACCTCACCCGAGATTCCGTTTCACCGTGGCCAGCATCCTCCGGTGAGCCGTTGCCCGTGATCAGTGTACCTACGGCTTTATCTCGATGCTGTGGTGCTTAATCCTTTGTTGCTTGCTCGTTTTGATCACTGCAGTCATAGGTTCTCCCTCACCGACGATCTTTGCTCTGCCGTGATCACCGTGGTCGTCGTCACGCCTCTCCGTTGCTTCTCCGACCTCGCTCCTTGCTTCAACGCGTTCGGGGTGAGCTACTGGTGATTCCTGGATCCTTTGTTTAAGCTCTACTGGTTTCACGTCACCGGCGTAGCGCTGCCATGCCACCGCGTCCGCCATGGCCGGTGTCATCCTTGAATCGTGACGTGATTGAGTTAGCAAGTGTCTCCAATCGATGTGCCATGTTGTTGTGAGTGTTTTGGTACTTTGGCCGTCACCATTGGACTCACCGTCGGTGAGTTAGCGCCGGTCAGCGCCGTCGCCGTCGCAGTCAAAGCCAGAGGTTGGGGATGACAGGTGGGGCCCGGGTGTCAGCGACTGTGTAGTTCAAAAATGGATTTTTCTATTTTCAGCAATGAATGAATAGTATCTATTTTTGTTATTTTTGTGTAGATTTATTTAGAGCTCAAAAAATTATGAAAATTTTTGTGTGACCTCTCTGTGATGTATATTATTTAGGAAAAATATGAAATGTTGTTTTTCAGTACTTTTTGAATGTGATAAAAATTGCTCAATTAATTAATAAATGAGTTTCCAGGATTTTTCTAGGCTTAATTATGTATCACAAAATTATGGAAATTATTTTGTCACTTAGTTATCATGTGATGAACATTTACAAAAAATTTGAGGCCAATTGGAACAAGTTGATTTATTTCATAATTGTTAATTAATTAAATAATTCATTAAAGCAAATAGTAATCTTTAGTGATTTAGGTTTTTGTTTGAGTTTTTGATTGAGCGATGTCCTTGGGTCATTAGTTGGTGATGATCCTTGGCAATTGATGTGAGTGTTGCGAAAATGGTTTAGTTAGTTTAACTTGTAACTGTACCACGATGGAAAGTTGTATTCAAGTTGTTAATTTTGCATCCATCATCGAGCATCATGTTTCATATTCCGCATCATGTTAAACATGGCATTGATACTACGTGTAGTGAACGAAGGTGAACACGTGGTAGTTAATCAAGTAGTTGAGGAGGTTGATCCGTCTGTGGAGGTTGGTGTTGATATCGGTGGAACGACTCCGAACCCAGACTTTTCCGTCAACGAAGGCAAGCCCCGGACGCATACAACCCTACCTTGTGTATTACAAATGAATTTTGCTTTTGCTTTTATTTACTGCATTAAGTGATTAGAAGTCAAGTGGAAACCTAATCGATGCATTACCAACCTTGTTTTATATACCCTGTTACCAGTTTTAATTCGTATATGCCTAGTTATGCTTAGCTATGCTTAGAACGATGAAAGTCAGGTGGTTACCTGTCACCTACAAGTTTTAAATGGAACTTTGGTTACTTATGTTATCATGAGATATGGGCATGTGGAGTAATAAATCTAGACCGGGCGGACTCGGTGTGTGTGAGCCATAAGACATGGAGGTGTTGTGAGCGGGTTCTTTCCGCCTGTGTCGATTAAGGTCCGTCCGTTGTTGAATTGCATAAGGTGAGACTTTGTAGTACTAAACGCATACTCCGGTAAGCCTTAACTTGGCTATTCTATTACGAGAATGGCTACTCGCGCACTGGGAGTGAAGAGATGGCGGGAATAGCGTGTACCCACGTGGCAATGGGCTGGATTGGTGGAGTACTGTATTCTCGGGTGGCGCGGACCCATTCTTGTTTTAGAAGATCCGAGGGTAGGTTGATATATGTAAGTCGGGGACCTGCATATGTCGTGTGGTCTGGAATTCCCAGCTGGGTTTTTAAATCGGTTTGAATCATCGTTGCTCCTCGGTTATGAAGACTCAACTCACTGTTCATCATCGTAGTATTAATAACTGGAACTTGAGGATGGTTTGAGAAGGTGTTGGTTATGAAGTTTCATGATCTCAATGCGGATCATGTCAGCTTTGTATATGATCTTTATGAAGTTTAAAATGTTGATGTAAAGAATTTTGTTAAAGTGCTTTTACGCAAAAGAACCTTGATTATTGTTAAAGCCATACCTTGAATCCCATGAGCCGGCATTCCTGCGTTCTTTTAATTCTTATTTCGGTTAAGTCTTGTTGAGTACTTTTGTACTCAGGGTTCGTTGACCCTTGTTGCAGGTGAGCCTCATGAGCAGATCTATTTTGGATCATGCTGCATGACTATTGTTCGATCTGACGATGAGAAGTAAATGTGTGGTCTTTGGGTAGGGCAGTTTTATTGTGTGTTTTGTATTATGTTATAATGCCACTCCACTACTATGTTTTGTAGTAATTATCGAACTTAGTTTGTAAGGTTTGAAACTATTGTTTTGTAAACTAGGTTATTGTAAGACTTCCATTATTTTACTCTAATGTATCTATTTTAATAAACTGTTGTAATACTGCATTGACTCTGTAATGTGATCCTGCTCAGAAATCGTGGATGATTCGGGGTTCCCCGAGGACACCCGACAGTCTTCTTAAGTTACCGGGAATGTATGCATGGGTGTCAAAGGTCATTGGACAGTGACAGGTGCATGTGGGCCCTATAATTTAGGAGGTTCTGCCACAGAATGGTATCAGAGCGATCGTTACAAAGTTTTTGTTGTATTGGTTTACGAAAACTTCAAAATGATTTGGGGTGACTAAATTTAACTTGATTAATTTGGTCCAAATTGCTTCTGACTTATCTTATTTCTTTCTCACCATTCCTTATTTGATTAAAAAGGTTTTGTGTGGTGGAGTAGTAATCTTACTATGCCCTAAATAAAAACAAATGATATTTATGTTCGTTATAAGATTTGGTGGTTTTGTTCGTAAGAACGATTCATGCATCATAATTAATTCACTTGTTACTTCCTTCATCTCTGAGTCTGGGTGAGTAGTGTGTATTTGTTGAGTTGTGTAGTCCATCCTTATTGCTCTTGAGACTGTGGTCAGATTGTTTTACTTGGATTAATCCTGCTTGTACAGTATGGCTCGTACCAAGAAGACACCCCGTAAGTCCACCGGACCCAAAGGAGTTCCTCGCCACTAACTTGCCCCTAGGAATGACGGTGCTAGCAGTAGCAGCTCTAGGCCTGATCCTCAGGCGGAGATATAGAGGATTTCTACAGAGTTAGCCCAAGCTACTAGAGATAGGGCTATGGACACCATCTAGGTGGGCAGATTATAGGAGCAGTTAAGACGTCTCACCACCGCTCACAGGAACTGCGAACGTATGTTAGTTCGTACGGTAGAAGGAAGAAATGAAGCTTGGC